ACTCCATTGAGTTGCTGACATCCTACCGGCTAAAATCCAAGTATATTCAGGCAGGCGAGAATTTCGCTCAGCTGTGATTGCATTGCCTTTGCATCGCATTGCAAAGCATCTGCAGTGCAGGTTGCCAGACAATAATTATGATTAGAATAGTGCAAGTTCACCCCCATGCATGCGTAATGGGCTGCCCCCGTGTTTTTGCCTACCCACGCGAGCATTCAGGGTGCTATTACAGGGTGATACTCAGGGTGCTAATACAGACTGCTTTAGAAAATAATATGATTTAAGGAGCCTAAACCTTGTTCAACAAACATTTGCCTTTGCAATTGAAATGTGGAACTGTAGCCTCACATCCACGATAGCAAAAGCAGTTCAGTCCTTTGTTAACAGTCAACAAATCCATATTTAACCCTCCTCTTGCAGGTCAAAAGGTTGTCAGACACTTACTCTTCGCACGTCAGCGGAAAGTACATTTCATGGTCCTTTCAATAAAGTGATAGAAATGGTAGGTCAGCGCTGAAAAGTTTTGCACTCGGTCCGTTAGACCATGTCCTCAGAAAATGTCTGATATCTGACCTTTCCCCCACTGCCCTTTGATCTGTAACCTCCAACTTCGTGCTGGTGATGGGTTTCCTCCCCATCACACTATACATCGAATATTAAGAGAATAGGTCGAGCCGTTGAGATTTGTGCCGAAATTCCGTATTTCCTCCTATACCTTAAGTTAAGGGGGAAATATGCCCCCGCCATTGACACATCTTGACCTTTAACCCTTGACCCCCAAATTCGACATCCCAAGTCCTTTTCGTGATCCCCCCCGACGTCCCGAATATCAAGACCGTACATCGAGTCGTTAAGATTTGTGCCAAACTTGTGTTGACGGATGGACGGACGCACGGACGCACGAACAATCATGCAATTCTACAAGCTGCATCTGACTTCGTCAGCTGAGCTAATAATGACGGAATCAAAATCATGCAAGCCTCGATCGCGACTGAATGCGCGGCATACTTTTTGAAGTGTTGGAGCATGGTCTTCATGAGATCAAACACCAACGAAGAGTAGGCGGCATATCTCATGTTATGCATGTGACCCCTGAAAGCAAAAATCGTTATTTTAGCAGGTCACAATGCATGGCTATTTGTACAATCAAGGACTGTAGTAGTAGCAGCAACAGAAGCAGCAGTAGGAGTAGCAACAACAGCATGAGCAGCAGCAATAACAGGTCTAACATCTGTGTAGCCTTATTACGTCATTTTTTCTCAAATTCATATTTAATTCATATTTTCATTTTCAAGTTTCTGTGACATTTACTAGCCTGTTTCAGTACGAAAAGACAACAGTGATGCTTTCACTCTAAACAAAAAAAGGTATGCACGTCAATAAATCTGTTACACCTAACTTTACAACTGGTTTCATTAAAACAATGAAAAGAAATAAATTTGAAAATCTTTCAGCTAATAACAGTTGCATTATTACACTGCTGGAAAGCATGATCAAAGCTTACACGTTTCCGCCCTAAACCAAACTACCACGATTCAACGTTTTATTACAATTAAATCTGCAGAGGATTTAGCTTTTAGCCAGCCTATGATGTAGAACACATGTATGCATGAAATACAATTAATATTATCTCGTGTGCAACAAATTTTTTTAATTGGATAATTGAAATTTTGGCTTTTTAGAAATGCACGGAGTACGAACCAGACTAGTTTTTGTTGTCTTTTTTTAAACTCTACAAATCCTAACTAACAAAACCTACTTAATCCCCAAGTTAAGACTCTTATGGTGGTGGTGGGGGCAAGCAGAGCTATTCTCGGCTACATCAGTCAAAGGTACATTAAATACTTTTTTCAAGGAGGTAAATCGACCACAGACAAAAATGATTTTGCAGCGAGTCCATCAGATTACATCCGAGGAAAAATCTGACGTGTAACCTTTTGCTTTTGTCAGCAATATTTGGAACTGTCATTTTTTCAGAATGATTGATATGAATAAACAACGTGACACCGTGCCTAACGTACACCGAAACATGTTTCAGACAATGATATTTCAGCAAGTTTAAAGGAAAAATGGTTTTTTATAACATGTAAAATTTCCATCTACAAAGCAAGCAACAACGATATAAATAGGACTTCCCTTAACTTACCATACACAAAACAGTAAAAACAAATAAATGGTAAATTCTAATTGACTACACGGAAGGGACACCAAGATTCGATACACAAAGGTGCGCATATATATGCACACACACACTCGTACACACACGCGCACACGAACATGCGCACAGGCATGTACCCACGCACGCACACACACATAGTGACATACATATGCACAGACATGCACGCACATGCATGCGCGCACACACACATGCACGCACGTACACACATGCACGCACCTAGATAAAACGCTTTACCTCCGAAACAACTTTTCACTGTGTTGCAGAAAATTCAAAAAACAAGCGCATAAGGAGTATGAAAAAATCTGTGAAAAAATATACTGAAAAATCATTTTACAACCAGTGCACAAGTATGTAATATTCTTCCTATACGCTGTGAATAGTGCCCTCGCTACCGCTCGGGCACTATTCCTTCCCTCAGCAACACTATGAGAGCATAGTGCCCCCAACAGCAGGCATTAATATATAAATAGTGACTGAACATAAGGCTAAGAAACGTAACAAGTGTCAAATTGACATCATAGCAAAATGTTGAAGCAATTAAACTAACAATGCAAAACAAAAATGCAAATACAAAGACAACTGTCACGCGAGCTTAACAGAAAAAATGTAAAAACCATAAAGTAATAACAGGTGAATTTAATTAGTGTAGAGCTAACATCACAGAAAAATGTGACACTCATATAGTGCTGCAGCATGACAATGGCCATCGGAAGCTACAACTGCTATTCCTACCACCCCCACAACTAAGGCAATGCTACACACATATTTGATTATAGAAAACCAGTCTGGTTTGGGTTATGATAGTTAGCCTCCTTAGAATATGTTCTAAATGCACCACCTGAATGCCTCAATTATGCTAGATACTCATTAATTTACTAAGAAACTTTAAAACTAAAACGACACTAACATAGCTATTAACAAACTAACAAAACGAATAAAAAAAATCATAAAACTAGTATAAAAAACAGGAATGAACGACTGAACTAACAAAAATGCATTTTCATAATAACTCCACACATACTTAATTTTAAAAAAACGTAACCAATGTGGAATCACATTTGATTCCAAAACGCTACTAGTACCTTGCCAGGTGGAATCCTGCTGGTGACTTCTCTTCCGATTGACATAAACAAGCCCAACGCAACAGAGTACGCTATGGCACTGAAATGCAATCAAACTCTCACATTTCTAATCACAATAAATTATGTAAAAATAAGCATGAACCTACAACTATCTATCATTTTTTTCCAAATAAAGCCTTTAGCAACCATCGATCACCTTACGATCGCTAACTAACTTGACAATGATAACCATATTTACCTCGAGCCTTTAGTCAATGGCATGAGATTGTAGAAATAGTAGACCAGAGAGAGTATGAGGTGTGACAGTCCATCTGCATCCTAAAAATAACACAAATATTTAATTCCACTCTAAATGACAAAACAATTGTTTGCACAATTCTTCATCTACTCTCCAGCATAACTAAACTACCCATATATTCCACCTGCTCGCCCACCACAGCAGCTTACCAAAATAAAATGGCCGACACCATGTCTTGTTCGACAGTTACTGTCTCATATCGACAACACTGGCAACTTCTCAAGAGAACGTGCTATTTAGGTAAGCGGAAACGTTCTTTTGCAGCATGGCCAGCACTGCCTGTATGTGCGCATGCGCATACTCACGCTGATCTTGTGGACTCCCGTCTTGCGTATGTCGTCGCTAAGGCGTAAGAAGATGTAGTCGAGCTCGGCGTGGTAGGCGATCGTGCGCATGCGCGTCGTCACCGTGCTGATGCTGAACACGATGCGCTGACTCCTGATGAACGACAACGACACACGAATGTGCACGTCAAACACGCTCGACGCATCCAGTCACCGACCGGGTGAAAGCTCGAGACTCCTCGAAGGACGGCGCAAGTTGTGTGATAAGCTTTATACGTTTAAGGTAGCAAAACTAAGTTCAGGACATACTACCGGTGAGCACTGTTGCACGTAGATCAGCTCATTGTACGTATGTCGAAACACTTTGATTTGCTACTACGGGCGAAAATAGATACATGATCTCATCATAGGGTGTGTAATAAACACGAGGAGCATGAGGAAATCAGCACTAGGGCATAACCTTGTTTTGTACAACCATAGATATATATACAAGACGCTATGTTTTTGTATATACGTATCAAGAGCTAATAAACACCACAGTAATTATTAGCTCGTGTACATATCTATAGTACAACTACGGTGCAGGCAATATGAGATCCTGCTTAGGTCTGTATAAAGTCATGGTACAGTCAGTAAAATGTCACAATGTGGTCAGTATGAGCTTAAAATGCATTATATACAAGGTGTGGTCACTACATGGTTAAGTTGTGGTCACAGTATGGTTAGTAGAAGGTTGGGGTATGGTCAGTTGAAGGGGGTGGTATGGCCAACTGAAGGTCGCAGTATGGTCAGTACAGATCATTATGTGGTCAGTAGAAGGTAGCAGTGTGATCAGTAGAAGGTAGCGGTATGGTCAGTAGAAGGTAGCGGTGTGATCAGTAGAAGGTAGCGGCGTGGTCAGTAGAAGGTAGCAGTGTGATCAGTAGAAGGTAGCGGTGTGGTCAGTAGAAGGTAGCGGTGTGATCAGTAGAAGGTAGCGGCGTGGTCAGTAGAAGGTAATATAGACGAAATCCTTATGTCCAGCGTATAGGAATATAAAATCCTTATGTCCATCGTATAGGAATATAGAATCCTTATGTCCATCGTATAGGAATATAGAATCCCTTATGTCACAGCGTATAGAATATGAGGCCTTATGTCGCAGCGTATTAGAAATATAGAATCCTTATGTCCAGTGTATAGGAATATAGAATCCTTATGTCCAGCGTATAGGAATATAGAATCCTTATGTCCAGTGTATAGAAATATAGAATCCTTATGTCCAGCGTATAGGAATATAGAATCCTTATGTCCATCGTATATGAATATAGAATCCTTATGTCCAGCGTATAGGAAGAATATTACATACTTGTGCACTGGTTGTAAAATGATTTTTCAGTATATTTTTTCACAGATTTTTCATACTCCTTATGCGCTTGTTTTTGAATTTCTGCAACACAGTGAAAAGTTGTTTCGGAGGTAAAGGTTTTATCTAGGTGCGTGCATGTGTGTACGTGCGTGCATGTGTGTGTGCGCGCATGCATGTGCGTGCATGTCTGTGCATATGTATGTTGTGTGCGTGCGTGGGTACATGCCTGTGCGCATGTTCGTGTGCGCGTGTGTGTACGAGTGTGTGTGTGCATATATTGCGCACCTTTGTGTATCGAATCTTGTGTCCCTCCGTGTAGTCAATTAGAATTACCATTTATTTGTTTTACTGTTTGTGTATGGTAAGTTAGGGAAGTCCTATTATAACGTTGTTGCTTGCTTTGTAGATGGAAATTTTACATGTTATAAAAAACCATTTTTCCTTAAACTTGCTGAAATATCATTGTCTGAAACATGTTTCGGTGTACGTTAGGCACGGTGTCACGTTGTTTTATTCATATCAATCATTCTGAAAAAATGACTGTTCCAAATATTGCTGACAAAGGCAAAAGGTTACACGTCAGATTTTCCTCGAATGTAATCTGATGGACTGCGCTGCAAAATCATTTTTGTCTGTGTGCGATTTACCTCTTGAAAAAAGTATTTAATGTACCTTTGACTGATGTAGCGAAGAATAGCTCTGCTTGCCCCCACCACCACCATTAGAGTCTTAACTTGGGGATTAAGTAGGTTTTGTTAGTTAGGATTTGTAGAGTTTAAAAAAAGACAACAAAAACTAGTCTGGTTCGTACTCCGTGCATTTCTAAAAGCCAAAATTTCAATTATCCAAATTAAAAAAAAT